AATGCTTTCAAATGTCAATGAAGTTGTTTTGAAGGTGAATGAAGTGTTTCCACAAATCGAAGAAATTGTTCCAAAGGTGAAGACCTTCTTGGACAACACTAATGGAATCATTGAAGAACTTCCGACCAAGTGGCAACTCGGACTCGGACTCGGACTTGGGATGCTCAGAATCGACTTGGTTGTTGGTTTAGCTATTTGGCTCTCCAAAGACAAGAAGGCAAGCAATGAAGAGAATGCAAGCAAGGAGAAGAAGGTAAACAAGGATGAGAAGTGTCACGGGATGACTTTTTCGGAGTCTTCCTTCCGTGCGGCCTCAGACTTGATCGCCTCTCGAACAAGCTAAGTCAGCCTCCTTCCTACAAAATAAGATCGAACCAAGCAAGAACACAAAACCAAGCAAGAACACAGAAGCAAGCCTTTCTCCATGGTGATTTACATGAGGAAATCTATATGTCGCCTAATCCTAGTTTTCGGTGACAGGGGGAGAATCTCGTGTGTCGCCTCCACAAATCTCTTTATGGACTCAAATAGGCTGCAGCCTTCGGCATTCTTCCTCTTCCCCTTCGGTCTAACCCTATGTTCAATGTATACAGTTTTATCGTAATGAGAACATCCTTCTCCGTGAACGTAGCCCATTATTCGGGTGAAGCACATACTTTGTCTTATGTATGCATATCTATTTACTTACCGAATGCTCTCACATACTGAGGGTCCTCACCTTCAACATCCACCTCATCTTTAAGTTGCTTCTATTTCTATCTGTTTAGTTTTAGCACCAACAATGACACATAATAGTGTATGTTTAAATAATGTGCATTGATTTTTAAAGCGTTTCATTTTCTCTCATGTTAATATTACCTTAAAATTAATCAATGAATAGCAATATTACCTTATACATACAAATGTTTACTATAAAAAGTGTTATTCCATGGAAGATGTCTTCTATGATGAGAGACATATGACATACGCTTCATCAATTTTAAAGTTCGAGAAGCTAAGATGATTGTGGATAATTTAGCACATTATTTATGACACTTTTTATGATCGATTTTGTATATAGTTTAGTATACTTTTTATATTCAAATTTGACATGTTAAGAATTAGATTCTAGGGAGAGAGAGAGAGAGAGAGACTCAACACTCTCACTCTCCCACTCCCGGCTCTATTTAATACAAGTCCTCCAACAAACAGTTGAGAGAAAGAAAGAGAGAGAGAGAGAGAGAGAACAGAAACAAATCAAAGAAAAAAGAAAAAAGAAAAAGAAGAGGAAAAATGGTTTTTGAAAGAATTAAGAAGGTTGATGAAATCATTTCAAGCATCCATGAAATGATTCCAAATGTCAATGAAGTCGTTTAGAAGGTGCATGAAGAATAAATACTTTCAAATGTCAATGAAGTTTTTTTGAAGGTGAAGGAAGTACAAATCGAAGAAATTGTTCCAAAGGTGAAGACCTTCTTGGACAACACTAATGGAATCATTGAAGAACTTCCGACCAAGTGGCAACTCGGACTCGGACTCGGACTTGGGATGCTCAGAATCGACTTGGTTGTTGGTTTAGCTATTTGGCTCTCCAAAGACAAGAAGGCAAGCAATGAAGAGAATGCAAGCAAGGACAAGAAGGCAAACAAGGATGAGAAGTGTCACGGGATGACTTTTTCGGAGTCTTCCTTCCATGCGGCCTTAGACTTGATCGCCTCTCGAACAAGCTAAGTCAGCCTCTTTCCTACAAAATAAGATCAAACCAAGCAAGAACACATAAGCAAGCCTTTCTCCATGGTGATTTATATGAGGAAATCTATATGTCTCCTCCTCCAAGTCTTCGGCGACAGGGGGAGAATCTCGTGTGTCGCCTCCACAAATCTCTTCATGGACTCAAATAGGCTGCAGCCTTCGGCATTCTTCCTCTTCCCCTTCGGTCTAACCCTATGTGCAATGTATACAGCTTTATCGTAATGAGAACATCCTTCTCCGTGAACGTAGCCCATTATTCGGGTGAACCACATACTTTGTCTTATGTATGCATGTCTATTTACTTACCGAATGCTCTCACATACTGAGGGTCCTCACCTTCAACATCCACCTTATCTTTAATTTGCTTATATTTCTATCTGTTTAGTTTTAGCACCAACAATGACACATAATAGTGTACGTTTAAATAATGTGCGTGGATTTTTAAAGTGTTTCATTTTCTCTCATGTTAATATTGCCTTATAATGAATCAAAGCATAGCAATCTTGTCTTTTCCTTAATAGCAATTACATTGAGAAATGCATACCAATATTACCTTATACATACAAATGTTTACTAGAGAAAGTGTTATTCCGTGGAAGATGTCTTCTATAATGAGAGACATTTGGCATATGCTTCATCAATTTTAAAGTTCGAGAATCTAAGATGATTGTGGATAATTTAGCACATTATTTGACACTTTTTATGATCAATTTTGTATATAGTTTAGTATACTTTTTATATTTAAATTTGACATGTTAAGAATTAGAGTCTAGGGAGAAAGAGAGAGAGCTGGAACAAGCAATTGTGACTAGTAATTTAATTATTAGTGATTGTTATGTAATTTGAAATCTTTAGACATAATATTATTTGTTTTATTTTGGGTGTGTAATTTTAAATCTTCGGACAACACTCTCTTGTATTGGTTTTTGTTCTTTTGTCAGCAAGTGGAAAGCCTTATTAGCACGAGGCAGGAAATGGATAACAAAGTTGCTGAGAATCCATCTTCCGAAACTACATATCCTGATACATGACGATGGTTTCTGATCTCCTAATTTTATTATTATTATTTGTAATTGTGATGTTTTAAGGGAGTTTCTGACTTTAGGAGAGTTTTTCAATATGTTATTATCGTAAGTTTGGCCTTTTGTGATATTGCACATTATTATTTACGGAATTGACCATCTGGTTTGAAGGCTTACCCACGCATTTACTATTGAGTTAATGCTATTTTCCCGCATTTACTATTGAGTTAATGCTAATACACGAAAAACGGAAGTATCCACCAAGTTACAGGAAAAAATACGAAAGGCAAAGCAAAGCAAAAGCCAAAAAGAAAGTCATGCTCTCTCTCGCCTTTCCAAGCCAGCTCATTCTTCAGAATAACTCCCACTCCCGGCTCTATTTAATACAAGTCCTCCAACAAACATTTGAGAGAGAGAGAGAGAACAGAAACAAATCAAAGAGAAAAGAGAAAATAAGAAGAAGAGGAAAAATTATTTTTGAAAGAATTAAGAAGGTTGATGAAATCATTTCGAGCATCCATGAAATGATTCCAAATGTCAATGAAGTCGTTTAGAAGGTGCATGAAGAATAAATGCTTTCAAATGTCAATGAAGTTGTTTTGAAGGTGAATGAAGTGTTTCCACAAATCGAAGAAATTGTTCCAAAGGTGAAGACCTTCTTGGACAACACTAATGGAATCATTGAAGAACTTCCGACCAAGTGGCAACTCGGACTCGGACTCGGACTTGGGATGCTCAGAATCGACTTGGTTGTTGGTTTAGCTATTTGGCTCTCCAAAGACAAGAAGGCAAGCAATGAAGAGAATGCAAGCAAGGACAAGAAGGCAAACAAGGATGAGAAGTGTCACGAAATGACTTTTTCGGAGTCTTCCTTCCGTGCGGCCTTAGACTTGATCCTCTCTCGAACAAGCTAAGTCAGCCTCTTTCCTACAAAATAAGATCGAACCAAGCAAGAACACAGAACCAAGCCTTTCTCCATGGTGATTTACATGAGGAAATCTATATATCTCCTCCTCCTGGTCTTCGGTGACAGAGGGAGAATCTCGTATGTCGCCTCCACAAATCTCTTTATGGACTCAAACAAGCTTCAGCCTTCGGCATTCTTCCTCTTCCCCTTCGGTCTAACCATATGTGCAATGTATACAGCTTTATCGTAATGAGAACATCCTTCTCCGTGAACGTAGCCCAATATTCGGGTGAACCACATACTTTGTCTTATATATGCATGTCTATTTACTTACCGAATGCTCTCACATACTTAGGGTCCTCACCTTCAACATCCACCTCATCTTTAAGTTGCTTCTATTTCTATCTGTTTAGTTTTAGCACTAACAATGACACATAATAGTGTACGTTTAAATAATGTGCATTGAATTTTAAAGCGTTTCATTTTCTCTCATATTAATATTGCCTTAAAATGAATCAATGCATAACAATGTTGTCTTTTCCTTAATAGCAATTACATTGAGAAATGCATAGCAATACTACCTTATATATACAAATGTTTACTAGAAAAAGTGTTATTCCATGGAAGATGTCTTCTATGATGAGAGACATTTGGCACCATGTTGGATGACGTTTGTACAAAAGTTTAGTTGATTGTTAAAGTAGATTTATCATTTGAGCGAACTCATAACACCACGTTATCGTGTTAAACACAGCGTTATCGTAGCACGCAATGTTACCATCAAGCCGAAAAATTACTTAATCGTCTATGCAAGGAAAACTGACTAGAAGGCTATCCAAATACCTAATTATATTTCAGTTTCGTTTGTTGGTTTTTACAGTATCCTTGGTTTTGGTTTTGTTATCCTATCGTGTTTATAAAATTTGATGTTCACATGCTTTGTTTTGGTTCTTATAAATATTTTGGTTCAAAGTCTATTATTTGATGTGAAACTCACTTGAAGATTCATATGGGAAACTCCCTTGATGAATGGTTTCAGTCAGTGTATTATAGGCTAAAGAAACTATGTGCATGCAAGTGTTTATAGTTGAGCTTACACTGTTCTTCAGACTTCAAAGGTTTCCATGGACAAGTGTAACAAGTTGACACAGCGGAATTTAAACATGAACAAATATATCTGATCCATGCTGAAAGAAAGAAAAAATGATTCTTTGGTGAAATGGAGCACCAGTTGAAGTCATTGTACATGAATCAGAGGAAACACAAAAATATGGGAGTTGCAGATTTCAGTCTGAAACCTAGTAAAACAAGAGTGAATTTATTAACTAAAGCCTACTTTCTATCTTAATTACATACATATTGTCCCCTACCCGAGATAAGAAAACGTACATCTCGAGTGTCTGTAAATCAGTCTATTCATATGTTTCAGGGAAAGGTATAGAAGCACAACAATGGTAATATCCGTTGTCATCAAACACAAATCTTTGTGAAAGATGAGCTTCACGGATAAGATACTCTCCCCATTCCTCGGACCCATACTGCTTGAAAATGCCATGGGCATCAAAGGATTGAACCTTTCTCGTTTGATTCTTCCTGCATATTGTAATCTCATATATCACCCACAAGCAAAAGAAACTTTAAAGGGTCAAACACTTAAGGGGACCAACACTTCGGAGCACCTAATAAACACCAGAGTAAAAGAAACTTTAAAACACTACAGAAATGGCAGCAACACCTTTTCCTATGCCTTGCATTCATCACGGTTGCATGCAACTGCAATTGAAAAGGACAAGACTCACGTATTAACTCTTACAGTGGGATATATAAGCGAAACTAAAAACAACCAAAATTAAGAGTGCCAAAAGCAGACACAGCAGAAAGATCATATACAATACCTTTAATTTCTGATTAGCATCTTTCTCTAGAACAAGCCCAGCTTTAGTATATGCATCGGTAATGACTTCTAAGAAAAGCTAAAGAAATTTAATAGAAGTATTAAATCGATACAAATAACTTCAACCTAGACTAGAAAGTTTTTATTTTCTTCTATTGATTTCAGGTACAACAAACACAAAAATGAAATATAATGAATGCTTATAAAACTAGGATACGACAAGCACGCAGAAGTCTCCCCTGGCTGCCAATTTCTTCAACAGGAGCATAGACAACACCAGCTTTGGCCAAGGAACCTCTCATACAGTTCTGCAAGGACATGAAACATCTCAAGTGTTACATACCAAAATCATAGGAAAAGAAAATAGCATCAACCCCACTCTGGCCATCACCAATAAAAGACATATGAAAGCCACATAGGATGCGAACAAGACAGTGAAGTCAATACATATATAAGACAATGAAAGCTAAGCAATCCTTCACAGCAAAACCAAGGCTTTTATTCACAACATGCTTGAATTTATTTATTCAAAACAAAGGTAAATATTATTTATTCTCAGAAGTCAAAACTTACTGATTTTGGTAAAGGTGCTCAAGATGAATCCAGTAGAAAAAGTGACAAAGTAAAATTTGAAAACATGTAAGAGAGCAAAGATTGGTTACTTCAAACTTTTTTACTAGTAGCCAGAGGTATAAACTACAAGAATATAATCTTAACCTCAACAAAATCATTTTTAACTTAAAAGCTTCAAAACATGGGCTGATGCATTATCATATCGTTGCTCCACATAACAAACTATTTGGTTTAGCATAGATGCTGAAGAAAGAATCATACCAGTCCCTGAAGTCTTATGGAGATAGGACGATTATCTAAGGCATCGATCACTTTTGAAGAGACGCTCTGGATAGAAACACACAACATTTTATTTCAAGTAGCCCCCTGTCAGCCTATTTTAATTTGATTCAGTTACACTTACCTGCAAAACCTCAATAGCTGCATGAACTCGGTCTTTGTTCCACAACTTCAGCATAAGCACAGTTAAGTGAAACGTTTTTGGTTTAATGAATATTGACTTTTCAATTCCCAAGTCTGTCAAGTGCACAGATTGAAATGAGATATTGACCGAGGAAAAAGAGGAAAAGAGAGGCAAAAATACACAAATTGTTTAGGAAGAACAGGCAAATGATCCTCGATAAGTTTGAATGAATGCAACAAATACAGAAATTAAACAAGAAATATCTTATGGGGGAAACAGTTAACAGTGACCCAATCAACAACTTCATGGAAACCAAATAATATCACTATCATTTTATTCAAACCGTTAACTCCTTAAGCCTCATGCATCATGATTCTTTTCCATCTATAATAATATTTCCGTACCAGATAGGGTGGAAGCCCTTGACATTTTAGGAGCATAACTGACAAGAGGTATGTTAGTTAGATTCACTTTAACTTGCTCACTGTCACCTTCAACATTAAGTTCAACTGCGACATCAGTTCCTTTCTCTAACTTTTGGTCTTCTCCTTCATTTTCAGAAGTATCTTCATTTGAATCACTATTCAGTTTCTCATCTACGCAAGAATCACTAATTCCCAGGATGGAGTTCTGAAAGTTGACAAGCTTATCAACTAATTCAGGATGTATTGCCAATGGAAGTGAAATGAAGTGAGAGTAATCAAGATTTTGGCTCTTAACTGCCTGTATGTATAAGGAGAAAGTAAGATGTTAATTATGTGTAATAGTATGCTATCAATAGCAAAAGAAAGACGAGTGATCAGGGACAAATTGTGTATATAAAGGAATGGGCATAAGCTCTAAACAAATAATAATGACTTGTATTAAATAATTGGTAAAAAAATCGAAAGAAATTAAAAATAAAACAGAACCACCCCTTCTTCTGCAAAACCACATTGCTAGGCAACTGACCTCATCAATTATAGTATGTATCTTCTCAGAAGCTCTAGATATACTTTCCATTGAGATGCCTTCAATAACTGTGAAAGATAACCAGGGGAAAATAGTTAAACCACATTCACATTCCCCACTGTCTGAAATCCTCTTATAAGAATACAAGATTATATGAACTTGGCTAATATGTCCTATCACAATTATGAAAGAGTTGAACAACTGTAGACCTGAACAGTTTCTATTTTATCATAAAGTCGAACTCTTGTTAACCTTTAAGTTAAAACTTACTAACTGAATCCTCCTCCTTTGATGAGGGGATTATAATCTTAACTCCCATCTCATCTTCAATCTCTCTCTGTGTAGATCCCCTGACACACACAACAAGCAATAATAATTACAACATATGAGAAAGTAATCCCATAAATAAACTTTTATAAAATATTTACACGATGAACTATGTACCCTTTTCCTCTAATAAAGCGAACCAAAGAAGCACCAACCTGCATAGCAAGGAACAAAAAAATGAGTGGTATGAACGTAAAAGGACAGAATGGGGTATGCAATGACTAGCATTATGAGAAATGCCTTTGAAGTCCAATGTGCAGTAAGCAACACCGGCACCAATTCTATAAAAATCCTAGAAAATTCCTACCGTAAGATGATGATACAACTGATTTTGTTTCTATTCAGCACTCACTCAGGCACTGATCCTGAACTCTTCCTACTCCCCCACACCACCCAAACAAAAGAAAAAGATAATACATAAAAAGGCATGTGCATGAAGGGTGCAAGTAAAAAATATCTTGAAAATCTCAATTAAACTGTAAAACTAAGCAAAAACATATGGTGTGGCCTGATAAATAAATTTCTTTATGGATTAGAAAAATATAATTTTCAACAAAATCATGCCTCAACTGAAATTGAATGCTTTTCAGTAGAAACCACTGATTCTTCTCTGAATACTGTCTTTTCTCCATTATCTTGCAATGCACTGGAACTAGCAGTAAAGTTAGTTGCAGCCACCTCTATGACATTGTGAGCACTTGAAATTCTGGTAGATGTGCAACGATGCACTTCTTGGACTCGAGTATCAGATTCCAGCTCATCTGTGGTCACCCTTACTGAGCATTCTGCAAACCAATAAATCTGTAATAAAATCTGGACAGTAACCAATCATTACGCCTATAAAAAAAAATTATTTTTCCAACCCAATCAATCATAAGTTTAACAATGGCTGACCAACAATGCGTATAGATCATTATACAAAGTTGTAGATATAATTACATGTCTCAGTATGTCTCAATATTCATCTAAAAAATAACAGAAACTTTACTGCAATTAGTATCCAAAACTCAAAGGATTAGAATCAATGTGAAAAGTTGCTGGCTTCTATTAGCCTAGGCTACAGGATGATACTTAAAGGTAACCCACCTTCATTGGAAGTGGCTTGAGTACTGACTGGTCTCCATACAGCATTAGTTGTTCTGATCTTTTTGTTACGATCCCCGCCACTTTGCTTATCTTTTCCACCACCCATTTTAATATTATACCTCAAACCACAATAACCACGGTGTCCCTGTCACACGGATATGAGTCACAAAAATATCTACTTGAAAGCCCAGAAAGCATCACAAAGTGACAACTAGCTCCAGTAAAGTCTAAATTTGATTCCAAACTCAATTTCATGGATACAAAAATTCTCCTCAAAATCAAGTTCTTTTCCCTCCTTTGTTTTATGCATAGTATTGAATTAATCTTTGGGAAAAAAAGAAAAACCTATTCAAACTACTTCATTAGTTTCTCTTTGCAAAGAATTAATCCTTGATCACTCAACCAACTCAAC